CTCAAGGATTGAGATATAGTTGCAATCTCTCTGAGGACCTATTTTATATACACCTATTGAAAATATGAAATATTTTAAATCTTTATTGAATAGATTAATAATATTCTGAAAAAGAAGAAAGAGTTCAATTCAAATAATCTTCTACCTGAATTCCGAAATTGAAAAGATATATTTTTCTCTACAAAATACTGATAAGCTACTACCACACTAACCATATAATTATGAAATCCGATTCCAAAAAGGATCTGTATTACCCTTTGGAGTCCTATATACCATATCCCGAACCAAATTCGAAACTCTAAAAGAATAACTGGAGGAAAACCTAAAGAAAAGGTTTATTCATTCCAACTCCTCTCCTACCACATTCCTTATACTATTTATTAAGAAAGCTAATAGAAATCTTCATTTCTATATCGATTACAGAGCCCTAAACAATTTGTTTATAAAGGATCAATATCTGTTGCTATTAACGTGTTTTATCACCGAGTGGATCATATCATCGAATGGATCATTTGAAAATACACCAAAATCAACTATTTTTAAATATTCTTATTTTAATAACCAATCATTATTTCTGAAAATTGAAAGATTTAAAATAATGATAATAATTTAGCTTTTTAGAAATTTAGTTTTTATATAAACATCTTTATTAAATTCGACAAAAATTCGAAAATGTCACGATTTTCGTTACAAAAAAACTATTTCTATAATAATTCTTATAGTGTTTTGAATATTCAAAAAAAAATTAAATTTTCATAGTACACTTTTAATTAGATTTCATATATTAAATTTTTAAAAAATTCTATCGATAAATAAAGAAAGTGCACGGTTACGCACAGACGAATTTTGTATGTAAATTGAGTGATCCATTCGGTGATATGATCCACTCGATGATAAAACACGTTAATTAAAGAATCTCTAAACAATTTGAAAGGAATAAAATACTTTAATAAGATCAATATTATTTCTGTTTTCAATAATATCAGAATCAAGAAAGAACAAGAATATTTGATTATATTTTATACCTGATTCGGTTTGTTCGAATCCTTAGTTATATTATTTGGACTGATAGGAACATTTGTTATGTTTTAGAGATTTATCAATAATTCCTTATATAAATACCTAAATATATTCTGTACTATATATCTAAATAATATATTGATATATAGTTGTATCTGAGAGGAATATATTTATTATATTCAAAAAGTTCTGTAAGTATTGAGAGAAGCCAATCTGTTTACAAAATTCGAAAAATGCGAATTCCTGAAATCTGAAACCACTTTTTTTGGCTTAATTGTGGGGAAGAATAATATCCGAATGAATCTAGAGAAAATACAGATTATTGTAAATTGGAAATCATTCAAAATCATAATCGATATATAAGTATTCATCGAATTCACAAACTTTTATTATTAATTTATTAAGGATTTTTCGAAGATAATCAGCCTGATAATAAAGCTAATCAAAAAGAATATTTTATTTTTATGGAATAATGCCTATCAAAATATTTTCGATTAATTAAAGAAAATATTTATCGAAATTCTTATTCTAGTTTTTTTTGATTGGGAAAAGGAGGTAATTCTAAAAACTAATATATTGGATTATATTTCTATAGGAGTTCTTTTTTAATATAATAAGAAAAGGATTTTAAAATCTATTATATTCTTTTTGAAGAAGTATTTTGTTATTAAATATAATTATAAGATCTATAATAAAGAACTTCTAATTATCATTTGTTATTTTAAAGAATAATATTCCAAACTTGAAGATATATTGTTTTCGATTCAGGTAATCATAGATTACAAGAATTTGGAATACTTTATGATAATGAAATTGCTAAATTACTATTAAGCTTGTTAATTTGAATTCCTATTTCAATTTAATTTTCAAATCATTTATTATTTTGGAAAGCTAGGTGCTAAATCTAATATTTTAATCAAAAAGTTAAAGGATTTTTTTAAAAAAAAGAATAAATATTTTTTATATTAAAACTAAATTATTCTGAAAAAAGAAAATTTAGATTCTGATTTGTTTTCCAATATCGATATATTAAAAAAAATCAAGATTGCTAAGAAAGTACGATTTACTGTTATTATACAAAGTCAGAGAAACTTTAATGCTGTTAATCTTTTTGATTCTGTTATATTCGAATCTGAACTTCTGTTTGTTATATCAGAACTTGACTCTATAATATTTCTAGAGGATTAAGAAATACCTTTAAACTTACCTACCAACCTGTTATCCCTATTCCAAAAAGGTTATCAAACTAATCCTGTTTCTAAATCTATTCTGAAATCCTTATAAAAAAGATTCTCGAAATATTTGAGAATCATTTTTATTGAGTATTTTAAAAATAATAGCTTATTATATTATTAAGGAAAACTATATATTCCTAATTATAATCCCCTAAAATCTTATTTGTTCTATTTGTATTACAAGTCCCTTGTTACTGGTTATCTGTATTATATCTGAATTTTCGAATTATTATTCCAAGATTATTATTAGCCTAACTACTATAATTATATTATATAATAGGTTTGTAATCATTATAGTTATTATTATACTATCTCTAATCATAAAAACCAAAAAGGAATCCTTTATCTACTCCCAATCTTATAAAAAGCCTAATAAGATATCTCTATAGATTTTATTATACATTTGCTTAAAAGTATTAACTTCGATATTATTATAATAATAATCAATTGTTTAATCAAGATAAAGCACTTTCTGCTTTATTATAATATTTGTAACTCTAAAGAAATCGTTTGTTTATTTTGAAAAAATATCTGAAAAGCTTTACAATTTGTTTCTAATAATTATTTCTAATTGTAAAGCTCAATTCATATCCGAATTCTGAAAGTATATCTATAAGCATTTGAGAATATTTGTTAGACTCTTTACTATTTACTATTCTAAAATTGATAAATAAACTGAAAAAGCTAATATAATATTAAAATAATATCTCAGATTGTATATAACTTACCTATAAAATAACTAAATAGAATGGTTTTTACTTGTTGAGTTTTTTATTAATAATATTTGGTTTAAGAGTATTCGAATAATCCCGTTTTTTTTTAATTATAGTTTTCATTCTTATTTGAACTTTGAATCTATTTTATTTAAAAGCAATTGTTTTATTATAAGAAATACTGAGAAATTCGTTTTTAAAATAGAAGCAATCTTCTTATACCTGAAGACAGAATTGATGCTAGTTAAGCCTAATACTTAAAGAATACTGACTCCTATTGTTTCCCTATTTATCGATATACTTTCCAATGATATGTCTAGCTAAATGTTAGAAAATATCAAAATCTTGTATTTATAAAAAAGCTTTAATTAAAAGAACTTTGGTTTATTCAAGATTTTAAGCTCAATAGGCTTTTATATTTATAAACTGAAACTCTCTATCTTTATAAGGATTTATTCTGTTTTTTCTATTAATCTATTATATTCTATATATAAATAATTCTATTCTTAAATAGTGTAATCTGCCCACTATTATCTATAGAAATCGACAATTTGAAGTATTTCGAAATCATTAAGATCCTGAATTCCTATTAGGAAAGAAGAGGTTGTGAAGGAATCTTGCCTGAAGTATACTATTCATTGGGTTAGTTATAATAAGTCAATCGAAGAATCTATTAGCTACTTAAAAGATACACAGAAAATGATCCGCAACTTTTATTATAAAATATCCTGATAAGTCTAGATTATTTAACCTGAATTGTCTGTTTATAAGATTATAAATTGTGACTTGCCACCTCATCAAAGTTTGGCCTAAAGGAAGGGGTAAGGGTTTATAATGTGGATACACATAATGATAAGTGATAAGCTAGGTTTATTAGGTTAACTTATAAATGAAAATTCTATATATCTTTATATTGGAAGATTCTATATTGTAATTCTTTGAGCTATATTTTAATCTATACTCTGTACCTATTGTTCTTAGCACTGTTGAATATAGATTTTCTGATCCTGCCTGCCTGCCTCGTAACATGTATCTCTATATAGAACTTAATAATATAAGACTTTTTCACCAAACTCATATATAATCTTCTAACAATCTGATTATTTATATAAAACAGAGCTAGAAAGTAGGCTAACAAGAAATATGATTTTCTGAAACTTTGATTTATTTTTATAATTTGTAATCAAACAATAATTAATTGTATTATAAAAAGTTGTATACTAATCTTGATACTTTATAATATCTTATTTATTATTATTAAACTTTTTGGGAACAATGAGATATTTGTAATAAGATAAAGCTTACAAATTATTGCGAACAATAATCTTCAATATTTCAATTGTATCTTTCAATTCAATAATCTTTAATTAACATTAATAGCTTGAGCCTAAGTAATAACAGTTTGAGGCTTATAATAGCCTCTAAATCGATTCGATCGATTCAAATACAGCTTGAGCAATAATGAAGTGTACAGCATTTGGATTATTGAATAGATCTATAAAGAAAGAGCTATTGATTTCAACAGAATGAAAAATGTGGTTCAAAAAAAGGAATTGTAAAGATAGGCTAGATATAGGTGCTTCTGGTGTAGCTGCTTATTCACTTATCTTTAATGCTTTTTGAGGCTCAAAACATTGATAATAGGGTATATAATAGATCAATAGTGAATATAATCAATATAATCAGAATAAGATATTGATAGAGCTTTGGAAATAAAATAGGAAATAAAGCTGTAATAGCTTATTTGATAATAATATAAATTATCATAATACAGATAAAGACTTATATTATATTATAAGAGTAGAAGAAGCTATGGAAAAGTGAAGCCCTACTTATAGAAAGTAGGGCGCACTAGTATCTGTGCCTAAGGTATAAAGGCAACTACAGATCATGTAGTTGGCGCCGTGATATCATATGATAATAAACTATGTTATAAGCATAAATATATATTATTGAAGTTAGATATAACTGAAATATAGAGAATACCAATCAAAAAACTGACGAATAAGAGTGATAACTTCAAGAGAATTGAGTGAATATCTTGTGGATAGGTATTGTGCGGCACTAGTAGCGAAGGACAAAAATCTCTAACGAATTTATATACAGTATGATCATCACTATCGCCTTGATACTCACTGAAGGCCAGGAGTTCTTAATCAAACAGAGCCAATCTAATCTTTTTCAATTTTTAACTATACTATCTATATCCTATATTCTCTTGTATTCTTGATCAATGATTTACTACGACGCAAAAGAGTCAACTTTGACTCTGACATGCTTCTTAATCATAGCGTTGCCGCAGTCGGTCCAGTCCGTAGATTGCTCGTTCGTCTCGTACAAGCTCATGTTCAGCGAGGTGAAGAAGTTAGAGAAGGTGAGGTAGGTCTCCATCCAAGCGACGCTATAGAGGGTATCAGGTTAGCAGCTGCATGGAGGGCAACTCTAAGAGGAGCAAGGAACAAAACAGAGGGAATCTTACTTGAGGCCGATGCAGGCACGGGAGCCCTTGCCGAAGACAACGAGGTAGTGGTCCAAGTTCTCGTTGGCCAACCAACGCTCGGGAATGAACTGGTCGGGGTTGGGGAAGATGTCAGGATTGGTGTGAACAGAGTGGATCGAACTAGAAACGGAGGTCCCTGCAGGCAGGTAATGACCCTGCCACGTCATGCCACCCGCGGGCACAAGACGGGGAAGAATACCTGGTACCGGCGAAGACATGCGGAGAGACTCCTTGATGCAGGCGTTCAAGTATGGAAGAGATCGGACAGTCTTGTACTCGTACAGGCCTTGGTCGTTCTTGGGGATAGGTTTGAGTTCGTCACGGAGCTTCTGGAGCTTGGCCGGTTGGCTCAGCAGGTAATAGGTGCCCATGCTCATGGTGTGACTGGTAGTGTGGGTTCCGGCAAAAGCAAACGAGTAGGTTTCATCCTCTACAGCTTGATGGGTGAGGGGCCTCCCGCCGTCCTCGGGTCGCAACAGGAGATCGATGACGGTCTTGCGGCCATCCTCGGCTTTCTCCACACCGAGCTCATGCTCGCTAGCGCGATCACGTATCCACTGGTTGATACTGGCTCGAAATTCGAACTCACCTGGGATCAGTTTCATGGCAATGTTCTTGGGAATGTTCAGCGCCATCCAAATGAGGATGGGGAAGTGCTTCAAGAGGAAGAAATTCTCGGAGAAAGTGCGCAGGGTGGCAAGGAACGGTGGCTCCTCCTCTTCCTTGGCGTCGATGAAGTTGAGTGTTCGGTCGCATAGGACTTGCATGATAGTATCGATCGTGATGCCGGTGTAGAGACGCTGGATGTCCAGGACTTTGTTCTGATCGTGGTGCTCGTGGGCCTTGCTGAGTGCGTTCTGGACGACCTTCAGGACGAGATGAGAAAGCGCTTCCATGGACTTGGCAGAGAACAAGTCGTTGATGAGCTTTCTCCGGCGCTTGTGGTATTCGACATCGACAATGGCAGGAAGAGCCTCGGGAATACCTCCAGCCGCCTGGAAAAACGCAGGATCCTTCATGTACTTGGACCCAGAGGAGTAGACCCTGAAATTTTAAGTCATCTGGGGAGGAATGGATCAAATAGAGGTAAAAAATTACTCGTGGAAGAAGTCAGGGTCACTGACGTGAACCCGATCTGGGCTGGCTCTGATGACAGGTCCTGTTAACATCGAATCAGTACATGCATATCATGCCAGCTATGTCATATCTTGGCGGGCCCAAGCGTCAGAGTGTGGAGAGGACCAACCATATTTTTCGTGGAGTGCGGCATAATTCTTGACATAAATGCCACCCAGAATTATGTCTTGATAGAACTCATACCAGTACGTCGTCCGCGCTAGGAATGGTCCGGGTATCTTGGCTAGAGGATGGAAGTAGAGCCGCCTCACGACCAGCTGGACAGAATAGAGAGTAAAAGATGCGAGTATAAGAGCGGCCCATCCCAGGGAAGTTTGAGGCAGGACGTGGTCAATAACATCAGAAAGGAGACCCATCGTCAAAAGCGTGCTTAGCGCTTGCACTAAATTTCGATGTCTGAGAATCACATCGGACGATAAAGAATTTGAAAGGAAGTGAAACAAGCCAGGACTTTAATGGAGAAGTACGACGAAGATCTCAAGTTATCTGGATGGGTTATACGAGCACGGAGACACACACGGGAATTACCCGTTTTGGCGAAATACAGATTGCTAGTCTTGATTAGGCACGTCCGGGGTGTGTTTCTAGTAAGACGAGTGGGTAGTTGTTATGGTCAAGGCTTTTTTGAGGCTTGTAGTCGGCAATTACTCCTTTAGGCAAGATATATAGAGGACATACAATTTGTGGCCCCGTATGGATACTATAACACAGCTGCTCCGGCTTAGGGGCCAATCATCTAGAATCTATGTGCAGTCTTTAATACAGTGAAGTGAAAAATTGTCCTACCACGGTCATCTGAGCTCCATCAGACCAAATCACAAAGTAAACTCTGCAGCACACAAAATGGCGATACCAGCACTTGAATCTCAGCTACACGACGCCGACACGGCCTCCAGCGATATGAGCAGCAACAGCACGGATTCCGGCTACGACACTAACTCCAGAACACCGCCAGAGAAAGCAGAAAACCCAGACGCCCAGGAATTGGAGCAACAGAAGCATGTTGCGAGACGGCCGCCATTCGTTCGTGTTCCGGACCTCTTTGGTTCTATCATGGCAACTAAACCTATCGTCAATCCCAATTACTTCGCAGCCAAGGCCAGGGGAGATCGATGGATTGCGAGGTAGGCAAAGAATGGCAGGGGCTGACAATGAAGACGGTGTCTCACGTCTTGGAATCACTTCACTTGCAAAGAGAACTTAAGCTGACGTGCTGTCTCGTTACGCCATGCAGAATCATGAATTTCAACAAGGCCGTGGCAGCAAGAAATTCCAAGGTTGATTTGTGCTTTTTGGCCTCTATTTGGGCCCCAGATGCATCCGAGGAGCGACTAGTCATGATGTTGGACTGGAATCATTGGGTTTGTTTCCCCTCTCCTCTTTTTAGTCTGTAACTCCCAAGGCTAATTCGTAACTTCACGCACAGGTTTTCCTCTTCGACGATCGTAGGTTGCTCTTGGTCATTAGACGAGCCATCCCCAAAAATTACTAATTTATTGCGCCCCACATAGAATTCGATGAAGGGCACCTGAAGGAAGATCCCGCCGCCGCAGCGGAGGAGGTGAAGCAGACCATTGCCATCATGGGTGACAACGCACCACTGTATACCCCCGAGTCAAATCCCATCCGATACGTCTTCCAGGAATGTTGGAAGCGATTAAAATCTGTGTCTAGTAAAGGTACGTTCTCCACCAACTAAGCGGCTCTTATGCTTCTTTCCTCTCTACCCCTATTTTGTAACAATGGATGTCTTGCTCTCACAAGTATCTGGCATGGCTTGACGAACAAGTCTGCATGATGTTGACTGTCAGCCCCAGAGATGCAACAGCGGTGGATAGTCCAGCACGAGCGCTATTTTGAGCAGCTTCTCGTGCAGGTCGACCAACAAGTCGGCGGCCAAAACTTCACACGCGATGTCGATGCTTACATGGACTTGCGAAGAGGCACGATCGGTGCGTACCCGGCGATCAACCTTAGCGAGTATGGCGCAGGTATAAATGTGCCGCAGCACGTTTATGACCACCCCAGTTTGCAAGAATGCATGAGAGTATCAGCTGACTTGGTTATACTGTAAGAAAATTTGACAGCACTGCTCCCGTCCCTTTGTTAAAAGTTATGTACTGATACCCCGTCTCGTCCTCAGGGTGAATGATGTTTTGTCTTACCGCAAAGACCTGGAGTTGGGCGTAGATCACAACCTCATGTCACTACTCATGGAAAGGGATAACCTGAGCGCCCAGCAGGCTGTCGACAAAATTGGTGACATGGTCAACGAATGCTATAGGCGGTGGTACCTCGCTCTAGCCGCGCTTCCGTCCTATGGCGAGAAGATCGACTACGAGGTCATGAAGTTTGTGGAGATTTGCAGGGCAGTGGCTCAGGGCAATCTATATTGGAGGCAAGTCGGTTCCGCTGTGGATCATCTCGCACAGCAGCGAAGCCAAATGGAAGTCAAGCTAACAGAGGTAATAGCTTCCAAACAGGTCGTTACCTGGGTCCTGAGGGCCATGATGTCCATGAAACAGGTATCATGTACCTTCCGCCCGCTAAAGACGTGCTCGTGGCATGAGGGGAGGAATAGGAGAGGGAAATGCAGCTACGTCTTATGAAGGAGTGGACTAGGCACGGGACAATGTGGTATTGTCAAGTTTGTAACTCCATATTTTTGTTTTTACGTTGATACACAAGACGCTAGGAGACGTCTTATATACCTGGGTACTTTGTTTAGAAAATGCTCATACTATGCTATTTTGAATTTTCGTTATGACTAAAATCCATGTCCCTACACACCTCTGAGTTACTTAGTGGTATCAGCGCTTGAAAAGACTTTGTATTGGCTATCTAGAAGCTTTATTCAATCCTTATCGTGAGACCTAATACTATCACTATAGTTCGGGTCCTAAATCTATTTCTATTCCGTCTCAAGTATAAATTTGGAGTATATATGGTAGACATGTAGTAACTTTAACACCTTTAGAAACTATTCTTTATGAACGCGAATGTCTCCAGGATGATCAGGAAACCGAACTGACTTGTCAACTAGACACCAAGCTTCCGGCCACGTCTTCGGTCAATTCATCGTGTTTGGAACTAGGATGACACCAACCCATTACTCTCCTGCTGCGTCTTTCCTTGAGAAGGTAAAAAAGAGCTTCCTGGGCTCGTTGATTGTAGAATTTGATAATCGCCTTGACGGGGTCGAAAATAATTCACCCGAGTACCTTCCATTCAACTTTTCAATGTCCGTCACTGTCTACTTACGGCTTCGTGAGTTGACAAACGGTTTCACCTCACTTCAATTTGAATCACATGAGCTACCATAAATTTGATTTACGGCGATTGATAAGTAAATTAACTAATCAAAGATAACAGAAAAAGTAGGTAAATCAAAAACTTCGAGGATACATGCCAAGAAACCCTGGACGATGTACCGGTATAATTTTAAAGCGACGCGATGTCAATCAAACGTGACTCGATTATTTACGGTACCGTAAGCCTACATAGAGACGTTGCCGATGACCATCTTAGTGATGGACCTCTAGTTGCAACATAAACCCTTGTCATCGGGAGGTCTCACTCAACCGTGACGCGAACATCCTTCGCGCCCGCCCTAGGAAAGCCCATGATATAGTCACGCGCAATCTTGATATCAGACTCGCCCGCATCATGAAGGACAAGCTTAGGGCCGCCAGGGCGGAATAGCATTGCGCTGGCAAGATACAACTCTGCCCAGGCGAGGCTAAAATGTTTAGAAATCTTGTTAGCGATTGCCCTTCATCAAAAAACAGTACGCTCAATGGCAGGTGAGCATGTTAAGCTTACTTGACTCCAAGGCAACTCCGCGAGCCCTTAGTGAAGGGGACGAAGTTGCGATCCATTTGCTTGTTGTACTCTCCGATCCAGCGTTCGGGCTTGAAGGCCTCCGGCTCGGGAAAGACGTTCGGGTCAAAGTGCATTGCGTAGATGGACATGCCAACTGGAGTCTGATTTTAATTAGTTTATGTCAGTTCACATCTCCGGGAAAGATTTCAAGAGCACTGCAAAAAAATTTGAGAGAAGAATGGTGCGGCAAACCTTTTTGGGGATGACCCATTGGTGGAACTGAATATCTTCGTCCGGCGAGCAGCGTGCAAGATTTCCAACGAGCCCATTCAACCGGAGCGCCTCCTTAACGCAGCCTCTGAGATATGGTAGCTTTTCCAGCTCCGCCCAGGCAGGTATCTTGTTGGGGTAGCCCTTGAAAACAGGCTGCAGCTCTGCTCTCAGCCGCTTCTCGATCTGCGAATTCTGAAGAACGTAGAAAACCACGAAGGTCAGGGTATGCGCACCTGCCAGCGTTCCGGCGAGCAGCATTATCATAGACTCAGCACGCAAACGATCGATAGACTTCTCAGACTCCGGTATATTGGAAGAAAGAAGGTGGTGGAAAACTGAAACGTCCGACAGGTCTCTCTTTGACGTGGCAATTTCGGATTTTATCTTTTCGATGTTCCGCTGGCCGGTCTTACCCAGCATCATGTTTGAGATGCCTTTGGGATAGACGCTGTTCATGATTGCGGTAGGCAGAGACTGCAGGACCCTGAGGTTTTCATTTTATAAGCACGTACTTATGAAAGGGCTCCGTCCCATGCGAAAAAGGAATACTTACTTGTTGATCCATGGAAAGCATCGGAATAGGGGTGCAATAGTGGTGGACTTCATCATAAGATCCTTCCTGAACCTCTAATTTAGTCTGGGAATCTACATTATCATTTTCGTTACTTCGAGAGATGTCCTCCACTTACCAAGCAGGAGTGAACTCCGGATCGTCCAGCAGACCAGCTTCCATGCCGCTAGACACTTGACCAATAATATCACCGGTTAATGCGCAGAGCATATGGTCCACTTCGATTATAGAACCAGATCTCTTGAGACCCATGAGTCTTTCGTCCATCTTCATGACATGCTCGGCAATCCGAGACTCAATACGAGTGATGCCTTGGCGAGAGAAGAATGGTTCCAGATGCTACGGGTCAACAATGTTAGATACTGAGCTTGTCCCCACGGACATAAAGTGCTTTTGGGGCTCTGCGTACCTTTCTCCGCGTACGGTGAAGGTCGTGGGAGACCGACAAGTGATGCGAGTCTATTCGCAAAACATGTGTTAGCCTACAACTCTTCGGCGAGTGCATCTGCATCAAGCTAGAAAGCGTACCTTCAAATCCGTTTCCCTCTCTACCCCTGGGCCACATGTCTGTCTTGCGAGTTGAGGCAGTGACGTATAGCTGATCGTAAAACGCCGGATCGCGGACTGAGAGTTCCCAAGGACTGGTGCGCACAATAGCGCCTGCAAATCCAGATACTGTCAGTTGTCAAAGATACCCTGAAATTGAGTTTTAGAGACTTAATGCTCCAAAAACGGCACTTGGGAGTTGCTTGCCATATTTCTCATGCATCTTGCGGACTTCATTTCCCCATTGTCCGCCCTTCACAATGTAGCAGTAGAACTCGTACCATTCGCACGCAGCGCAGATCTTGTAACCGGGAAACTTTGCCAAGGGATGTAGATACAAGCGGTAGAATACCAAGCAGAATACATAAGCAAAGTATAACCCGAGGACGACAGAGGCTATAGTGGTGATGTCTGTCCTGTCAATGTCTTCGAATTTGGCCTCAGCCACCTTGGTTCCGATTGATTGAGCATTCTGCCATGCCTTACTCTTGACGGCTAGCACAAAGGGAGTGGCTCTTTCGATTCCATGTCGGAGGAGTGCGTTCGACTTCTGCCACGTGAGCAGCGCCGTTTTAGTGACCAGTTCCAAGGTCGGGTTGCTCTTCTCCATGTTGATGTCTTCGGCCCAAAGAGTTATATTGAGAAATGGGAAAGATTCGCGAAGAACCTAGGAACCAGAAATTCAGTCGACATCTAATGGAAGGGAGATTCTACGGTATACTAAACATACTCTGGTGAAGGGGTTATTTCAATGCGGGGCACACAGAGAGTGCCTAAAGCCTGTCGAAATAGACTCTATTCTCGTACTAGGCATTACAGTTCCTAGTTTGAATTGATACGGTCTGTTAGTTGCTTTCGATCTCGACAAGGTACTAATCAAGCTTTGGGTATAATACTTGCGATGGGTGCCGCGGCAATCGGTGATGGCCATGCTGGGAAATGTACATGGACACCTGAGGCTCTTGACCCATCGGACTTGCTCAAAATGGATTTCCCCTTTGGGTAATTTGGCTAGGCGGCAAGCGAAGCCTATGCGAAGGTCGGATAGGTAAGCATACCCACTAGCGCCTGTAGGGATTATTCCAACGATGTTATTGGTCAAAATCATTAGTAATCATGCCGCTCTAATCAATCTTGTTCGCTATCTGCAAGGAAAGCAGAATATGAGTACTAATTAGATCGACTATCAAATTTGTTATCAATATCAACTTCATCAAATGTATCGGTAGTAATCGTAATATGGATATCATAGATCTCCAGCTGCTTAGAGAATTTTCTCTTCGGAGTTCGTTTTCTCTTTCTCCACTTATACCGTTGCCACTACTGTCTATCATACCTCCGTATCGAGAAATATTGTGTGACCAGCGAATCGAAGTATATACTTTATATAATATTGGTATACAATAGAGTGATATTCGCTGATATTTCCTCATTTAGGGTATTGATTTGCGCTATAGGCAGATTGAGTATACTTGCTTCATATATATAATCCCTAAAAGCGTTCTAGCCGGCTGCTTGTTATAATGACTGGCCAGATCGAGAGGATTCTTATATTTATTACTTTATCCAAACAGACTTAATGAATAGGTCTTGCTTATACTAGACTGGGAAGATCTATAGAGCCAATTGCACGTCTGGTTTGTTCTAACGATATAACATCTTAAAAAGGTTACGGTCAACAACAAAAGGCTGCCATTGTACTATACAAGATGGCGACAATACCGCTTTTCTTCTCACTGGTACTATTCTTGCGGCTTTATCATGCCTATAGGCTTGAAAAGCACCAAGAGGGTAAAGGTAAAGACATCGTTGCCTCAAAAGACCTGGTGTCAAAAACCGACAATCCGCAAGGTGATGACGAGGTCTTGCCCGTACATTTCATAGATCAGGCTACCATTGTACGCACATCCATTATCAACTATACTTTTCGCTACAACGACGTTCTCGACGCGGCAAAACTTCATCGAGGTCTACTCCAGCTATTGCAGATCCCAGGATGGAACAAGCTTGGAGGCCGGCTCCGAACCACTGTAAGTGACCACGTCCATCTATCCACGGCTCAAGAGCGCTCGCTAAAAGTTGATGCTTTTTTTTGCAGAAAAACGGAAAACTTGAGATTCATGTACCCAGAAACTTCAGCAAAACCCGCCCTGAAGTGAAGTTCTCTCACGTCGACTACTCCGATATCAAAATCGACTCCCACGGTCTGGCATCACAACTACCCAGACCCACAGGGTCTACACCATCCGTACAGGAGGGCTGCCACGCGTTCCGGTCATTTGCTTTGCCCACTGATCTTCCCAACAATATCGAGCATTACTGGAAGAACGACCAGCCAATGTTGTCTCTGCATGTAACATCCTTCGCGGACGCCACACTGGTTGGCTTGACCTTTCCGCACTCCCTCACTGACGCCATGGGCACATCAGAGTTTCTCAAGGCGTGGTCCAATGTCGTGGCTGGCAAGAGCAGCTTCGTGAAGCCCCTCCAGGGAACTCAGGTAGATGTGCTTGGCGATATTGGGACGAGCCTTGACAAGAAAGCTTCGCAGGGAGAATTCACTCTGGAAGGCCAACAAACCCGGGGGTCCTCCTTACTGTCCTTTATTGCTCGCTACATGTGGGATGCCACGACTCGTCGATCTATTCGGACGCGACACATCTACCTGCCTGCTAAATACATGTCGTATCTCCGCCAGGATGTCGAGGAGGAGCTGAAGAGGCAAAATGGCGGCGTTGTCCCGTTTGTTAGCGACGGCGATCTCATCACAGCCTGGGGCGCTCGCATGGTCATGTCATCGAGCCCATGGAAGAACTGTAGTGCCGTGATTTGTAACGTCTTCGACCTCCGCGGGCGTCTCAAGGACACATTTGCTCGCGGGGGCACATACCTTCAGAATCTGATCCTGCCGGCAACAACTGTCTTGTCAAAGGAAGAAGCGGCCACCGCCACGACTGCCCAGATTGCTCTGGGCCTGCGGAAGGCCATCGTAGAGCAGACTGATGATGTACAAGCTCGGCGACTCATGCGTATCGCACGTCGGTGGTTCTCGAGCATGGGCACGATGCCCTTGTTCGCAAAGTGGGATTCGCGAGTCGTTGCATGCACGAACTGGTCAAAGGCCAAATTTTTAGACGCAGCTGATTTCGGCCCCAACGCTTTGATTGCGGGTGGTATGGGCAATCGCAAATACAGCGGTACGAAGGTGGCTACAACACATACGGGACCGGCACAGGCACAAACACACCCAGGCAGACCAGTCATGTACTGGGGCACGACTCTGAGCGTTACTGACAAACCCCGCGACACCTTCGTGATCTATGGCAAAGACGCAGGCAGTAACTACTGGGTCCACGCTTACTTGAGGGAGGAAACGTGGAGCTTGATCCAGAAAGAACTCGACTCATTTAGATAAGGTAGCTGTAGTTGTTGGGCAGCAAAGTTAGGTATGTTGGTGATGAAGGAGAAGCTAGCAACAATTAAGTTACATTACGTTTGAGAATACAGCAGAGCGAGCTTGGAACTAATGAGCTGGCAAGAGTTGCGGTGTACTTTACTGTACTCAAGATTGATACTTGGTATAATGTGTTGGTGGCTTCTCGAGTCTGCAGAATTCGCTGCTGATGAAGCTGGCAATATATGTTCGGGTCCACAGACAAACATTTGGAATTCATAAATGGATTACGTGCATTAGCCAATAGACTAGTTCATTGCCCAATCAACGCATCTTCTAGCTTGACTAGTCTATTAACCAATGAACGTAGTAAAGGTTAAATTTTAAAGCTAGTTATAAATAGATATAGTCTATTTGTTAATACTTTAAAGTGGATACTCATACTATATAAATGCATATTTTATTTGATTAATAATCCTTCTCTTATCTATATTATAGTCTTTAAGTAGGTATTATTTTAATTAATATGACCTCACTAATATCTGTTTAAATTAGTAATAACTTTTCTAGAGAGGTTAAAAATAAGTTTCTAAATATACTTCAAGACAATAGTTATGAAACTAAAACCCGACTTTCTCTTCATAAATAGAATTAAATATAACTCTATTTAAATAATTCTAATTCTGATTACAAAGTATATAATCTTGAAGTCTTTACTATATGAGTAAGCATAGCACTTCTTCGAAGTATCTACTTCTATAATTACAAAATACTTCTTTATTTCTTTATTTTAATAAACTCTAATGTCTAGTTAAACAACTTCATTACTCGATCAGAATACATAAGATTAATATGACTCTTATAATCATACCTTAAATCAATCTAGTTTAATATCACTATATATATCTAACTTCTAATTAAAGTGACTATTCGATATAGCTATTCCTCTGTAAAAACTTAAGATTATATATATTTCTTTAAAATGAATTTCTATAATTGAACATAACGAAAACACATATTAAGTATAAAACAATAATTCGAGATAAAAGTAATCAATCTACTAACATAATCGATCTACTAATAAACTACGTTATATAATTCTATAATATATATCTATATCTTAGGGCCCGTTCGGATCGATTTTTTTTTGATATTAGACTAATATATTAGAAATATTAGCCCAATATTGTGTGTTAGGGTTGATCCACTTTACCACTACCCACAAAAGCGTGGAGTGTTCCGAATGCGTTCGGAACAGTGGATCTACTATATAAACCCTGTCAGGTGATCGCTCCCTGACATTGTGTTTACCGAACGCAATATTGAGCCTAATATATATTAGACTATATTAGATCTAATTAATGTATGACTGAAATATTTCGAAACGAACGCAATATTTGAGCCAGTAAAATATTGAGTCTAATAATCTTAAAGTGACAAATGCAACAAATTTTCTCAATCTTTCTCATACAGTAGGCTAATAGCAGCTTTTAAGGTATAGTTGAACAAATATATTTGAGAAAAAGCTTTATCTTCTTCATTTTCAAATCAACCTCACACGTCCTAAAATTACTCCAAATATATTAGCCTCAATCAAATATACCTAATATATATTAGCTTCAACAATTCAATTATCCTTGCCGTTTTATCATTATTAGAGATTTCATCAATTAAATAAGAAATCGATCCGAACGAGCCCTTCGTAAAGTAAGATTTAAGCTAATTTCGAGATATAGCGCGATGTGCGATATAAGTCTTCTATTTGAATATTTCCAATAGAATTCTTAATAATTAGATTTAATAATAAAGAAGCTCAAATTGAGAATATTCAAAAGAGAGTATATTATAATTGAAATAAATAAATACAATAATTATTACTTTCTTAATCTTTATATAAAGCTATTATTGAAATAATTAATACTGATTTTAATAAACCATAAATGTCAATTTAAAGAATTTCGAAAAACAATATTAAAATCATGTAGAATAATAAGAAAAAGAACATCTTCTTAATATAATAAGAATTTGATTGCTATTAAAATTGAATTTAAATCAGATTACTTCAATTTGTCTTCAATAGCCTCGAAGAACAAGAGTAATAATCGATATTTTGTTGGTTGCTGTAATGGGGATTCGAGGGTGGCCATGGTAGTAGCCCCAAGAGTGGAGGTTGAATTTGTGTGGTCAACCCAGGATCGCACGATCAAGACGATCACGAAATGTACGAAACTCAATAGGAAGCTGCCGACGTGTCATTCGCCTGTAGGTTCAACAAGATATTAAGTTTTTTTGTAAAACCAGCACTGTTGCTGAGAGAGATCCACTGTATAGATTTTCATGGCCTGTGTCCATAGTGCAAAGTTTCTACTGGACGTTTCACCTTATCCGGGCTATCAACGGTGCAACGTCACTTGCATAGCCGTCTGGCACATCCACGGTACTTCACGGGTACCGATCAGCCCTGGTTCAGCCCCACTACAGAGGTACCCGTGTGGACAGACTCTTACGTGCTATACATTGGAGACAAAGGTGGCCGATATGAAGGCCAACATTGAGACGAGTCTACAGGAATATTACGAAGTAGAACCTAATCATGATTTACGAACTTAAAAAGAATTTAAGTTGAAGTTTAAAATATTATTTGAATATTGTATTGAAATTACAGAGCGCATCGTCAAGGCATAAATAAAGTATTGTTCACCTTGGATTTTAGTATTCTCAATTTTCAAAATCGGCCAGGTATTTCTCCTTCTCCTATTTCTCCTAAGGTTAATCTTATGTAGAGCACGTGCATGATCGTCCTAACACGATGTAGACAAACAAACCGAACCGACGATATGTACGGCACCCTCTCTTTTGGCAACGGAAGCAAGAGTAAGAGATCCTCGGCCGAGTTCCATACATTCTCAGCGTTCCACAGGAGACGGCTGAGACAGCCAGCGTGTGACGAATGCAGAACAGCTCGTGTCAAGTGTCGATGGGAACCCGACAGGGAGAACTTGAAGTGTGCCCGTTGCCAAGGTAGCAGTAGGGCGTGCACATACAACTCGGCGAGCTGCCGGTCCCGAAACTCACATTCTGGGAAACCGACAGAACCTAGGGAAAGAACGCGCACCGCCAGCGTCACAGTTGAAGGTAACGAAGATGAGAACAGGAGCGGGAATGGGAACGGGAAGGGCAGCTCGTTGGTGCCGTCAATCCCGGAGTCAGCATCGAGTCCGAGTCCGAGCCCGAGTCCGCCTTCGATCCCGCAAGGCCCGCCAGTACCACAAGACACGCATACGAGGTGGTGGGAGTCTCAATTTGAGCCCTTGGATCTGTTTTTCGACCCAGACCCAGCCACAGACAAAGCCATCGACGGATCTCCAAATCTTGTGCCTCCAAATCGAGTTGATGTGGATGTTTCGTCAGCTTCTATGAACGACAACGACGGAGTACTGCACCTCCCCGACCTAGAGTTGGCTTCGAAGAGTGTTGAACACAATGCTCCTCACTGCTACGACTTCTCAGCTCCCGGCAACGAATTGCGGCCAAACTTCTCTTTACCAACGCCGTCCCTGTCATCGACGCGCACGCCCTCGCCCACGCCCAGCTTAGTTTGGAGCACGATGATTCGGCATGCTGAACACCAAAAACGTCCAAGTCTGTCTTCAGACGTGCAAATCGATCCTCCCGCAACTCCGCAGCCCAAGCATCACACTCAGGATGGCACCACTCAACCTTTATTAAGGGCTGGGTTTTCCGACCTTATAGACGTAATGAGATTCGCGAAAAACCCGTCTTCACCCGCATCAGCGACATTGACTCCGAGCGCCTGCACATGTCTCCAGGACTTGACTGCAACCTTGTTCAGTCTTCGAAGGCGGCCAGAAAAAGCGCAGGTCGACCAGTTCCTGCTCCTCTTCACGCAGGCCATGTGCAAATGGGAGGCAGTAGAGACGTGCACGTCGGCACGTCATATCTCTCAGAGCCTTGCGCTTCTCATGCTGATGAATATTCAAGAGTTGGTTGCACTGCTTCTCGACGCTTCCTCATCGGTCAACGCCGCGGATAGTCCATCCGGAGGGCGGGACTCCATCCTAGCGATCAACATAGGGACGTTCACTGTGGAGGATGGGGCAGATCAGAGAATCATTGCCCAGATGCTTTTGGCAGTGAGGATGAAGGAGCTATACTCGTTCATCACGAGGATGAGCGCTCAGATGAAGCTTGCGGGCTTCGATGATATTTGTATGGACTACCACCACCAGACAGAGATCGTGAGGAGAGCGGTTACCTCATAGAATATCCTGTTTCCTGCTTTTTGACTCATCAGTGGGCGTTGGGGTTGGGGTTGGGGTTGGGGCTGGGATTCCTAAATTAGGAACACGCTGTTTATGTCAAGGTGCCAATATCCATGTTTTCAATAGATCCATTGCACGTGATATAGAACTATCTATTCGAATAGAGTAGAATAGAATAGAAAAAAATAATTCGTATCAGCATATTGCTTAACTACATATATGTGATTTCCAATACGCACTCTTAAGTAGTATCCCCCACGGCTCTCCTAGAGCTACCTTCTGCATATCTTCTGTACGCAGCTATAGTTGTATATGACTTTCGGGATCTCCCTCCTTTTCTACCCAATGGCAAGTTATTGGATGTGGGTATTAATGTCACATGATCTCAAAAACATGCACTTCCACTGCGCCATCCGGGCTCATAACCTATTGCAATAGTAAACGATAATTGTCATCAAAATACTGCTTAATAACATATATATCTGATCTCCGACAAAAACTATCCTATTTGGGGCCAGATCCGTCCTAGGTATGCGCCTCAATCCCAGGCGACAGTAAGTTTCGAGTTGAGCAATCAGCCTCATAAGTATCCCTCTCGCCATGGCAGAATTGGGCATGGGTGTATTCTCTGTACAGAAAGGGGGTGCTCGGCGATTTCCAGATCTAGCAAGGGCGAGACGGGTTACCCCATAGAGTCTTGGCGAGACGGATTACCTTATGGAGTCTAGCCTGATCGGGTATGCAAGGTAATCATTTACTTCTTTATACCTCCGATATCCCCGATAATTCCGCGCCATATATATTAGCTCACGAAATGTGCGGGTAAGACGAAGAAGAAGCATTTCATTCCTCAGTTGCCATCACCTCGGACGCCGACACCTCCTTAGATCGAGACCAAACTCTATTCATTTCTCCACCCAATACACTTCCTTCCCTTCACTTCTTTCTTCGTATTGTTGTCATGGCAGCACCTAAGCCCGTTTACTGCCTGCCTGACGATGCAGTCTGGTTTAGTAAGTACCACTAAGCTAGTGCTACCTTTTTAAGGTACCTACCTACTATCGACTAGTTTGTGTCTAATGCATACCCAGTCACCGGCTGCTCATCTGGAATGGGCCTGGCTCTGGCACAGATCGTTGCTGCTACAAAGAGCCAGCGTGTAGTCGCCACGGCACGCAACGTATCTAAGTTTGCCGGCAAATTGCCGGAAGACAGCTCACGTGTCCATTTGACGGCTCTGGATGTCAACAGCGCTGAGTCTATTCAGGCCGCATTTGACTCCGCGATCGCCAAGTTTGGCCGCATCGACGTCGTTGTTAACAACGCAGGCTATGGTCTGATGGGTGATACAGAGTCCTTCGTGACAAACGCTGAGGAAATGGATAAAGCTCGCAAGATCGTCGAGACGAACTTTTGGGGCACCGCTCAGGTGTCCGCGCACGCTGTGCGCGTCTTCCGTGACGAGAACCCTAAGAGCGGCCAGATTGGCGGTGTGGTACTGAACGTCACATCTATTGGTGGTTTCGCTGGATTCCCCGGCAGTGGTTTCTACCACGCCTCCAAGTTCGCTGTTGAGGGCTACACTGAGGCTTTGAGCAAGGAAATGCGACCTGAATGGAATAGTGAGTTCCCTATCTCTGCTCACCACTGAGCAGCACCAATCTCTTCGTCACACACGAGGCTGACAATAGATATCTCCAAAAGTCCACTTCTGCATCATTGAGCCCGGTGGAACAAAGTCCAACTTCGCAGGCGACAGCATGGCGTGGTTCTCTCCCCACCCCGCCTACACAGCACCAGACACACCTACCAGGCTGCTGGAAGGCTACGTGAAGAGTCCGGACATGCAGGCGACCTGGTCACCGGCTGAGCATGTCGGCGCTGCCATGTACGAAATTGTTGCCCGGAAGCAGGCCATTCCCCTCCGATTTCCCCTTGGCGCACCAGCTTGGACCGTCATCCAGGCCGAGTGTGATGAGGTGAATAAAGCGCTGCTAGAGATCAAGGACCTGAGTTTCTCAGTTGACGATGGCTTGGTCAACAAGAGTGGCGCCTTCCTGAAGAAAACTTTCTAAGGAAAAGCGAAATGTCAAGCACGTGCTGGCCAGTGCTTACACATATGAGAGGCTTAGATAGATTAGATTTAGGTGTTAAAATTGCCATAGTACTCTCCACACTATCCAGTACATATGCTCTTTGTCTGCGAGGAAAATATTTGCCACATGGGACAAGTCTAAATTGTGAAGTCTGCTGGCTCGGTATTCATGTCTACCTGAAAAGAGAGGTCCTTGTAATCACCAAGCCATTCGTGCTACGCCTATCATGTCATAATTTATAGGACTGTGGGACAAGCTGCAAGATCTAGTGATTCTGTGACACGCAAGAGTCAAGCCGTGATCGAAAAGTTGATGACCTATGTGCAAATATTCCTTTTCCTGTGATGTTTAATACGGATTATTGATTAGGTACGAATAGAAGATCTTAAAAGTTGTTTAGAAGTATGTACCGTATTCTTTTGGAAAAATTTCACAGCGCTAGCAGGGATTAACAATTTACGCTCACTCGTGGGTTAGGGTTCTGGCAAGCACAGGAGGCGATTGATTTGTTCATTCTGTAGATTATTCATCAAATGCCTTGAATTTCCGTTGAATCCTTCTAGTTTTCACCATAATTTTGAAATATTCTACTATCTTTAGAGGGATGCTAATTGCTTTAAAAGTAATGATTTTTGTTCGCTATATGAATTTTCCAAAGTATTGTTTTATTATAAAATAATATAATAATATATCTTTTTGAATATATAGAATAAAGTCCTATACTAGTATCGAATCACATGACCAATCACGTGATCGTCGCTTATAAGCTTCCGAAAGCAACCATACGAAAACGACCGTATTTAGCTTCCGAAAACGACCATTATTAGCTTCCGAAAACGACTACTAATAAAGAATAAGAAAAGGAGCTCTATTTCGAAGGAATGGCCGGATTAGGAAGAGATCTACGAGAGATAAACGAAAGCGGAAAGCTAGATTAGAATGGAAAAGGTATATAATATGAGCTTTTTCCCTCTTAATATAGGATAAGAAATTCAATAATCATATACTGTTTCATGAAAATCACGTGTTTCATAGCTATTTAGTTGTTAATACGAGCCAGCTTCCCATAATAGACTAATATTAGTCTATTCCCTCTTATATACTATATATTCATATACTAGCTCATGACCTACGATAAAAAGAATACGATATGCTTATAAGAGTTTAAAAATTCAATGTTCTGAGATTGGAGCAAAAGCTATAGATGATATAAAAGTATAAGATGAGATTGATATAGTAATAGTTTATTTGAGTTTCTAGTAAAACTATTAAATACATAAGAAGAACGACGAACTCCTTTCTATAATCTTCAATTTATATCTCGAATTCTCATCTTAATACTTTACTAAGTATCGTATCTTTAACTTTAAAAGAATACTAAGTAGAACTCTTGATAACGTAATTTATCAGCATATGGGCCATATCAGCATGTGGGCCACTTGAAAACACACCAAAATCAACCCTTTTTCAATATTCTTATTTTAATAGTTAATCATTATTTTGAAGAAAAAAAAGAATAAAAGATAATAACGGAAAACAAGCTTTTTATGAATTTAATATTTATATAAAAATTCCTATTATCTTATAAAGAAAATAGGCGGCTCAAGAACGACTACTGAAACAGCTAATGCACACACCAGCCAAGTTCGCTGAATTTATTGCTATAACAGACTTCTACAGGAGCATATGCCCTAGAACGCTATCAGAAGAATAGAAGGAGAGAAGGAAAGGGATCGATTGATCCAGGCGAACATAAGCAGGGAATAAGAGGGAATAGATCTAGAAAAGCTATATGGAAGAAAATTGAAGCATACGGTATACCATATTGTAATAGAATGTATACAAAAGCTACCCTTACAGGATAAAGTAGTTTTCAAACAAATATTATATAGGAAATCGGAAAGCGCGTATGGAGGCGTTCAGAGGATTGGAGACAAAGGTGCAAGTGCACTAGTTATCGCTTGGGAGGCTACTGAGGGTATTGAGACCCTATCCCTAGGAAAAGGGGATCATATAAATTAGAAGATCATCCCGCAGTTAGCCCAACCGTAATGCCCCCTGGGAGGCTCGCCTATACGGCCCGGTTGAAAATTACTAATAATAATAATAATAATTAACGTAGTTTAACAGTGGGTCGGCTATATCAGTGGGTTGGTCATTTTTACCTCGAATTATTATTCTATATTCAATATGCGTTTTCTTTATAATTAATTATGGAAATTCATTCCAAAGAAGTATGTATAATCTTAGCTATTCAAGCTATTGAATTAGACAAAAAATTAATAATTCGAAAGGTAGTTCAGCTTTATTGTATACTTCGATCTATATTGGATAATAGAATTCGAGGTAAATCTAATATAACTGAGAGTTGATTAAAAAGTTATAATTTGATTGAATTAAAAAGGAAGTATTTATTCAATATATACTTAATATGAATAAAAGAGGATTTTTATTTAAATTTAAAATGGTAGAAGATATAGCGAATTATATTTTCAAATTGAGAAATACAAAGTATATTGGGAATCTCTAGATATATCGATTTGTAAAGTGTCGAATTGAATTAAAGATATATTTTAGTTATATTTATGATTTTTAAAGAGTTTTCTATAAAGATTCTAAGTTTATTGAAAGTGGTTTTGATTAATTATGAATATGTGAGTGAAATACAGTATTTTGGATAGCGATTTCTATAATTTCAATAAAATGGGCTTTATGATGGGTATAATATGCCCCGGAATAGTAATAATTAGTATTGAACGAAATAGCAGAAGCAAGATAATATAATTAGGTAATAAAGAATGAGTTATAGTAATTATATATGGTAATAAGGAGAATGAAATTATATTCTTATTTCTAATGATTCAAGGATAGGTTTATCTTTTCAATTGATATATCGAAATCGAT